ACCATCTTGGCTCACTGCAAGCTCTGCCTCCCGGGTTCAAAAAAATTTTTTTTACTATCTGGTTTATCAGTATGAAATGATATCCTTTGATTCCTTCTACTACCTGTACAACAATCAGTGATCTAATTCGACTTTCCCTTTTTTCCTCCTCCCATTGTTTTTAGTTGTATTCTTTCTACTTTGTCAGAGCATACAACATTTAAGTGCTATTATTTCACCCATGTTCCTATCCTTATTTTTGCCTTTGCTATACAATTGCATATGTGTCCTTTGCCAACATATCCCTGGTTATCTCTCGGTTAGATGAAACACATCCTCTAGAAGATTCCTCAGAAAGGGCTTGTGTGTGCAGCATTCTCTGAGTTCCTGCATATTCATAATGGTTTTTTTCCTTCCTATAGCCTTGATATTTGAAGGACAGCTTGGCTGGGTATAAAATCCTTGGCTTACACTTAAAAAAATCAGCTTTATTGAGGCATAAATTATATAAAAATTCACCAGTTATAAGAATACAATTTGAAAAATGTGACAAACAGAATGTGTAACCACCAATTTCATTATGATGTAGAACATGGGTCAGCAAACTACAGGCCACAGACCAAATTTGGCCTGCTGCCTGGTTTTATAAATTTTTATTGGAACACAGCCACACTTTCATTTATATAGTGTTTCTGGCTGTTCTTGCACCACAGTGGCAGTGTTTAGTAGTTGCAACAGAGATGATATGGCTTGCAAATCCTAAAATATTTACTATTTGGATCTTTACAGTTGTTTGCTGATCTCAGGAATAGAATGCTTCTTTCACCCAAAAAGTTTTCTCGTGTCTCTTTGCAATTAATCTCTTCCCTTCTCCTATCTCCTAGCAACTACAGATGGGCCTTCTACCACTATGGTTTTGGCTTTTCTTGAATGTGTTAAAAATTGAATCATATGTAGTCTCCTCACCTGGTTTCTTTCACTTAGATGAGTGCTTTTGAGATTCAGTCAAGCCAAGTGTGGTGGCTCACGCCTGTAATCCTAGCACTTTGGGAGGCTGAGGCAGGTGGATCATGAGGTCAGGAGTTCAAGACTAGCCCGGCCAACACAGTGAAACCCCGTCTCTACTAAAAATACCAAACTTAGCTGGGCGTGGTGGCAGGCACTTGTAATCCCAGCTACGTGGGAGGCTGGGGCAGGAGAATCACTTGAACCCAGGAGGCAGGTTGCCATGAGCCAAGATCACGCCACTGCACTCCAGCCTGGGTGACAGAGCTAGACTCCGTCTCAAAAAAAAAAAGAAAAAAAGAAAAAAAAGGGATTCTTTCATGTTGGGTAGATCAGTAATTCGCTCCTTTTTTTTTTTTTTTTTTTTTTGGTAGAGACAGGTTCCCACTATGTTGCTCAGGCTGGTCTTCAACTCTTGGGCTCAAGTGATCCTCCTACCTTGGCCTCCCACAGTGCTGGGATTATAAGCATGAGTCACCGCACCTAGCCGTTCACTTCTTTTTATGGTTGACTTGCACTTTCTTTCCTTGAATTTCTTGAAAATGCTGCTTTATTCTTACTTTGCTTTGAATCTTGCTCTTAATTTTTATTTTTATTTATTGAGACAGGGTCTCACTCTTGTCACCCAGGCTGGAGTGCAGGGCATGATCAGGGCATACTGCATCCTTGACCTCCCAGGCTCAAGCAATCCTCCCACCTCAGTCCCCTGAGTAGCTGGGTCTACGGGTATGCGTCACTACATCCGGCTAATTTTTTAAGTTTTTTTGTAGAGGTGGGGTCTCTTCATGTTGCCCAGGGTAGTCTCGAGCTCCTGGACTCAAGTGATCCACCCACCTTGGCCTTCTAAATTGCTGGGATTACAGACCTGAGACACTGCATCCGGCTTGTTTGTTGCTCTTAAGAAACCTGTGGTGACCTAATTTTTTGTTCGTTTGTTTGTTTTGAGATGAAGTCTCACTCTGTCACCCAGACTGGAGTGCAGTGATGCAGTCTTGGCTCACTGTGACCTCCGCCTCCCAGGTTCAAGCGATTCTCCTGTCTCAGCCTTCTGAGTAGCTGGGATTACAGGTGCACACCACCACACCCGGCTAATGTTTGTATTTTTAGTAGAGACAGGGTTTCGCCATGTTGGCCAGGCTGGTCTTGAACTCCTGACGTCAGGTAATCCACCCACCTTGGCCTCCCAAAGTGCTGGGATTACAGGCATGAGCCACCACACCCGACCTGTTTGTCTGTGTTTTGAGACAGGGTCTTACTCTGTTGCCCAGGCTGGAGTACAGTGACACGATCACGGCTCACTGTAGCCTCAACTTACTGAGCTCAAGTGATCATGCCACCTCAACCTCCAGGTAGCTGGAACCACAGGCACATGGTACCACACTGGCTAGTTTTCGAATTTTTTTAAAGAAATGGGGTCTCCCTATGTTGCCCAGGCTGGTCTTGAGCTCCTAGGCTTAAGCAATCCTTTGGCCTTGACCTCCCAAAGTGCTCAGATTACAGGCATGAGCCACCGTGCCTGGCCTCTAATTTTTAAAATTCTTATTATAATAGGTAATTCGATCTATTTGTCTTGATTTTTTTTTTTTTTTTTTGAGATGGAGTCTCACCCTGTCACTCAGGCTAGAGTGCAGTGGCATGATCTTGACTCACTACAACCTCCGCCTCCCAGGCTCGAACGATCCTCCCACCTCAGCCTCTGAGTAGCTGGGATCACAGAGATGTACCACCATGCTCAGATAATTTTTTTTTTCTTTTTTAATTTTTTTAAAGACAGAGCATTGCTCTGTTGCTTATGCTTGAGTGCAGTGGTGCGATTTCAGCTCACTGCAGCCTTTTCCTCCTGGGTTCAAGCAATTCTTGTGCTTCGGCCTCCTTAGGAACTGGGATTACAGGCATGTGCCACCATGCCCAGCTAATTTTTGTATTTTTAGTAGAGATGGGGTTTCACCACGTTGGCCATGCTGGTCTTGAACTCCTGACCTCAAGTGATCCGCCCGCCTCAGCCTCCCAAAGTGCTAGGATTACAGACGTTAGCCACTGTGCCGGCCCAGCTAATTATTTTTGCCTTGATGTTCTGAGAATTTTTTTCCTTTGCTTTAAAATCTAATAGTTTCATTAGAATGTATTTTGAAGTTAGTTTTTCCTGGTAATATGTTTACTTCCTGGCACATTTTCTTAGAATATAGTTTTAAATACAGGTTTTGTTTAATCAGCAGAAATGTATTTATTTGCATTTAGTTTTCTTTTTATATTAGTTTTGAATGGCGTTGGTTTGAATTTTTTTTTTCTTTTTCCTACTTTTAGGCATTTTGTGGACAGAGTTCATGTGTACCCCCTCCTGTTAGTATAGCGCCCTGCACCTTCTTTAATGGATGATGATATTGGTAGTGGGGAGGAAAACGGGAGTTAGCACATATTTGTGCATGATTCTTTTTTTTTTTTTTTTTTTTGACACAGAGTCTTACTCTCTCGCTCAGGCTGGAATTCAGTGGCACGATCTTGGCTCACTGCAACCTCTGCCTCCGGGTTCAAGCAATTCTCCTGTCTCAGCCTCCTGAGTAGCTGGGATTACAGGTGTGCGCCACCACACCTGGCTAATTTTTGTATTTTTATTAGAGATGGGGTTTCACCATGTTGGACAGGCTGGTCTCAAACTCCTAACCTTAAGTGATTTGCCCGCCTGGGCCTCCCAAAGTGCTGGAATTACAGTTGTGAGCTACCGTGCCCAGCCTTGAGACAGGGTCATGCTTTCTCACCCAGGTTGGAGTGCAGTGGTATGATCATACCTCACTATAACCTCAAACTCCTGGGTTCAATTAATTCTCCCACCTCAGCCTCCTGAGTATTTATGACAACACACTTGTGCCATGATGCCCAGCTGATTAAATTTTTTTTTTTTTTTGTAGAGACGAGGCTTTACTATGTTGCCTTGCCTCATCTCAAGCCCCTGGGCTCAAGCTATCCTCCCTCACTGGCCTCCCCAAGCTTTGAGATTACAGGCGTGGGCCGCTGCATCCGGCCTTAAACTCAAATAACTAATTGTTGGGGAAGGCAAATATATTTTATTGATCTTGCTTTCCTTCTTGAGAAATTCACTTCTCCTGGCTCTACAACAGTATGGTCGTATCTTCATCCTGCCTCTGTGACTGCTCCTCATCTTTGATGACTCTGTTTCCTTTGCGTATCTTTTAGATGTTGGCTTTGTTTGTCTTCTCTATTTATTCTCTGGCCACTTTGAATTCACTTTGGTTGTTTCAGTTGCCATCCATAATAAATAGAAATCTTAATATCTATTCTAGATCTCTTTCCTGAGCTCCAGATCCATGTGTCCAGCTGACTACAGAGTATTTCCAGTTGTATGATCTGAAGCCGCTAACTGAATAGATAACTTACCTTTTTACCCCTTAACTTTGATCCTTCTACAGGATTTCTTAAATCGGTAAATGGCATCAGCATCTCAACGATTACCCCCACTCCCACCCCCAAATCCAGTCAGTCAGGTATATATTACCTACCAAATATAACTCATTATCCTACTTTTCTGTGTCCTTGCTGTTGCTGAAGACTAGGTTGGGCCCGGCGCTGTGGCTCACGCCTGTAGTACAGCTTTGGGAGGCTGAGGTGGGTGAATCATGAGGTCAGGAGATGAAGGCCAGCCTGGCTAACACAGTGAAACCCCATCCCTACTGAAAATACAAAAAATTAGCTGGGCGTGGTGGCGAGTGCCTGTAGTCCCAGATACTGGGGAGACTGAGGCAGGAGAATGGCGGGAACCCAGGAGGTAGAGCCTGCAGTGAGCCAAGATGGAGCCACTGCACTCCAGCCTGGGGGACAGAGCCAGATTCTGTCTCAAAAAAAAAAAAAAAGAAACCAGGTTGCTGTTACCTAGTCCATTGCAACAACTTCCAATCATTCTCTCTTCCAGTTCAGTCTCTACAGCATAACTGGTGTAATCATTCTAAAATACGTCTGATCGTGTCTTTCTCTTCTGAAAATATTTGCCTCATTTGTTTCAGAAAACGGAATCATCAAGACAGATAAAGTATTTGAAGTGATGCTAGCTACAGACCGCTCTCACTATGCAAAATGTAACCCTTACATGGATTCTCCACAATCAATAGGTAAGCTTTAGATTTCTGAAAACATCACATTTTTCATCATTTACTTTATGATTTTGGTAAGTAGAAAAAGCCTGGGACACAGATATTTATCTATTATTACCTTCTTAATTTGAATTTTATGACTCAGCAAGTTTCATAATCCCAAACGTGCCTATTTTGATAAAATTATGTATGTTTTTCTGTTTTCTGTTTTCTCAAACAATGTATACATAGTATAAAGAATTAAAAACATTTTTTGAAATAAAATATTTTAGTGAAAAAAACCTTTTTTTTCTGGAGATGGAGTCTCACTCTGTCACCCAGGCTGGAGTGCAGTGGCGCAATCTCAGCTCACTGCAGCCTCCGCCTCCTGGGTTCAAGCAATTCTCCTGCCTCAACCTCCTGAGTAGCTGGGATTACAGGCGCGTGCCATCACACCCGGCTAATTTTTTGTATCTTAGTAGAGACGAGGTTTCAGCATGTTGCCCAGGCTGGTCTCGGAACTCCTGAACTCGTGTAATCCACCCACCTTGGCCTCCCAAAGCTCTAAGATTACAGGCATGAGCCACCACACCCTGCTGTAAAACAAAAACAACTTTTAATGAAAACTTAAAGTATTAGCTGAGTTCTGAGTTTTCTTGAGGGGCCTTCGTGTTGACTAGAGATTAGTTTTCAGGTTAGGATTAATTTTTTAAATCAATATTTAAATCAGTAAGTGTGCTTAAGTTATTACTGACTTATCTCCTTTATTTGCCCTGCTTTTTTGGCTTGTGTTTGTTTTTAGAAAGTCCTGTATTTAACTGCTTCTCCTGAAGCAGGTTTTGCTGAACTGCTGAGCCTTGGCAGTGGGCGCCTTTGAGGCTTAGAAGTGCCTCAGGATTGTGTCAGTCGGATGCCATGCTATCTTCTTTTGAAGCACTATAACAGTCAGCAGAGAAGATCCTGGGGAGCTTCTGAACCCCGAAGGCACCTGCTACCACCGCTCAGTGAAACTTGCTTCAGAGGCAGAAAGAAGCAGGTAAATAAGTTTTGAGAAAGCAACACCAGAGGAAAAGAAACTAAAAGTTAAGAACTATGAAAAGATTGTGTGAATTAACATTAGATGATAAGATAAAGAATAAAATGAAGTAGTTTATTGGTCTTTTAAGCTACTTTTTCAGTTATTCTAGTTTTATTTTGACAGAAATATGAAGCAATTTCATTTTGCACAGACTTTGTATACCTATTACACATGAAAGCTTATTTTTAAAAAACAATCTGAAGGAAAAACAAGCCAAAAATATATCAACTCTCAACTTACTGAAATTCTTCCTTTCTTAGCTGACTCTACAGGAGAAGAAATTTTTAGCTGCCGTACTTTAGAGGGACTGTTTTACTACATGAGCACATTACCCTTCGGCATGATTATATTTTCTAATTTTAACTGCTGGGTGGCAGTACTCTAATAGATGTAAGTTTTATTTTCTTGAGATCATAAAAGCTAAAAAAGAATTATTGTGAAAAATAACATATGGATGGTAGAAAAGAAATTATGTGAAATAGTGTATTTTTGCAGCTGACTGTATCAGTAGTTCTCTTCTTGTTTTGCAGGTTTCCAAGCAACAATCAGTGCTCCACACATGGTAAGTTAAGTTTGTTCACTTGGTTACAAATGGATCATATTTTTCTCTATAATCATTTACTTTAGTAAAAAAGGTTTAAAGAAAGTTTTAAATTTTTAATTATATCAATTTATCATCTATGAGTTGTGTGGATTGGTAATGAACGTCATTTTCTTTTTTGAATGTCTTATTCTTAATAGAGGGTCTGTAGAAGGAGCTTTATAAGGTAGAAACTGGCATATTAAAGTTTTTGGTGGTTGTCAGTATCTGTGACATGTAAAAATTGAACATAAAAGGTTGGTTAGTAGAGAGTTAATTAAAGGAGATAATATTTTAAATAGTATAATGGACATTTTATAGAAATCTCAAGTTGAATATTTCACATTTTATGTGGAAAATTCATTAGGGAATGTTTAAGTATAAGAGCCATTAAGCTGCATAGCTCTTTGAGAAGGACTTAGTTTGAGTGATCTAGCAGTTTTAATTTGTTGGGAATTTTCTTGGGTTTTATTTTATTTTATTTTATTTTATTTTTTTGAGACCAGTTCTTACTTTGTTTCCCAGGCTGGAATGCAGTGGTATGATCATCACAGCTCACTGCAGCCTTGACTCCTGGGCTCAAGCAGTCCTCCCACCTCAACCTCCCAAAGTGCTAGGATTACAGGCATGAGCCACTGTGCCCAGCCTTTTGGGAGGTTTAAATGTCAGTATTTGAATGAGTGCTCTTGTTTTATTTTGTAGGAAAGAACAATAGCTGTTCTTTTCTTTTTCTTTTTCTTTTTTTTTTTTTTTTGAGCTGGAGTCTCACACAGTCGCCCAGGCTCGTGTGCAGTGGCGTGATCTTGGCTTGCTGCAACCTCCGCCTCCTGGATTCAAGTGATTCTCCTGCCTCAGGCTCCCAAGTAGCTAGGATTACAGGTGCCTGCCACCACACTCAGCTAATTTTTTGTATTTTTAGGAGAGATGGGGTTTCACCATGTTGGCCTGGCTGGTTTTGAACTCCTGACCTCTGGTGATCCACTCGCCTTTGCCTCCCAAAGTGCTGGCACTATAGGCGTGAGCCACTGCGCCTGGCCAGAACAGTAACTTTTCTGATTCTCTGCAAGTATTTGGGGTTGGAGAAGTTCTTATTTAAACTTAATACTGAAATAAATTCTATTTGTATTTATAGTGAACTGATAATTATACTAGAAGAAAAAGCAGACATAAACATTGAATAGAAATGTCTTTTTGAAACATGATAGAAAACACAGAAGCCATTAAAAAAAATGATACATTTTGAAACTTACATATCTAGGATTTTTGCAGAGAAAAAAATGTTATAAGCAAAAATTAAAGAGGAAAAATTGGCTGTGTGTGGTGGCTCACACGTATGTAATCTCAACACTTTGGGAGGCCGAGGCAGGAATATCGCTTGAAGCCAGGAGTTTGAGACCAGCCTGGGCAACAAAGCAAGATTCTGTCTCTACAAAAAAATTTTTAAAATTAGCTGGGTGTGGTGGCATGTTCCTGTAGTCCTAGCTACAAGGGAGGCCAAGGCAGAAGGATTGTCTGAGTCCAGGAATTTGAGGCTGCAGTGAGCCATGATTGTGCTACTGCACTCCAGCCTGGTTGACAAGAGAGAGACCCTCATCTCAATAATAATAATTAATGATTGAGGGAAATACTGTAATACATTTGACAGCAAGGGAAAATTTCAATATGTAGACATGTATGCATATATTTGTGTTTGTGTGTATCCTGTTAATAAGTAAAAGACCAGTAAGCCCAAAATAAAATGTGTAAAGGACAGGATTGATAGTTCATTGTGGCCGGGTATGGTGGCTCACATCTGTAATCCCAGCACTTTGGGAGGCCGAGGTGGGCGGATCACCTGAGGTCGGGAGTTCGAGATCAGCCTCACCAACATGGAGAAACCCTGTCTCTACTAAAAATACAAAATTAGCTGGGCGTGGTGGCAGATGCTTGTAATCCCAACTACTTGGGAGGCTGAGGCAGGAGAATCGCTTGAACCCGGGAGGCGGAGGTTGTGTTGAGCTGAAATCGTGCCATTGCCCTCCAGCCTGGGCAGCAAGAGTGAAACTATGTTTCAAAAAAAAAAAAAAAAAAAGAGGCTCAGATAGTTCATTGAACAGAAATAGAAATGACAGTGACATTTAAACAAATGAAAAGATGCCATCTTCACGTATTAAATTTTTTCTTTTTTTTTTTTTGAGATGGAGTCTTGCTCTGTGGCCCAGGCTGTAGTGCAGTGGCGTGATCTCAGCTCACTGCAACCTCCGCCCCCTGGGTTCAAGCAATTCTCGTGCCTCACTCAGCCTCCCTCGTAGCTGGGATTATAGGCATGTGCTACCATGCCTGGCTAATTTTTGTATTTTTAGTGGAGATGGGGTTTCGCCATGTTGGCCAAGCTTGTCTCAAACTCCTGACCTCAAGTGATCCATCTGCCTTGGCCTCCCAAAGTGCTGGGATTACAGGCGTGAGCCACTGTGCCTGGCCATTAAAAATTTTTTTTGTAGAGACAGGACCTCACCCCAGGTTGGTCTTGAACTCCTGGGCTCTAGTGATCCTCTTGCTTTGGCCTTCTAAAATGCTGGATTACAGGCATGAGCCACCATGCCCAGCCTCATCGTCACTTATACTTAGTAAATTGCAAATTAGCACTATAATGAGGTACCAGTTTTCAACTATCAGATTGTTAGAGATTAAAAACTTTGATACTCTGTATCGGAAATGGAAAACTGGCAGTCACATACTTTTTTGTGTGGGAGAGTAAATTGAATGTTTTTGGAAGACAGTTTGGCAGTATCTATCAAAATGTGAAATAAATATAACTTAGATTTCCCAGTTTTATTTCAAGATATTTGTCCCATAATATAGTTACATGAGTGCAGAATGACTTAAGTTATTTATTGACGTCTTATTTATTATAATTATAAAAAATAGCAATGTCCACAAATGGTGGATGGTTAATAAATTATAGTACAGATGCTCCTTGACTTACATGGAGTTATGTCCCTATAAATCCATCATAAGTTGAAAATACTGTAACTCTAAAATGCATTTAATATTCTTAGCCTACCAAACTTCATAGCTTAGCCTTGCTTACCTTAAATGTGCTCAGAACACTTACATTAGACTATAGTTGGGCAAAATCAACTAACACGAAGTCTATTTTATAATAAAATGGTGACTATCACGTGTAATTTATTGAATATTTTGCTGAAAGTGAAAAATAGAATGGATGTATGGGTACTCGAAGTACAATTTGTACAGAATGTGTATCATTTTTACATCATTGTAAAGTCGAGAAATCATACGTTGAACCACTGTTAAGTCAGGGACCATTTTAACCTCCATGTTGTGGAGTATTGTGAGACGGTTAAATGAAGGAGCTCTGCAAGTACAAATATGACAAAGTCTTCAAGAAATACAGTATAATACTTACAGGTAGTTTTTTGGGTGGGAAAAATAAGAATGAAACAGTATAAAAGTTGAGTCCCAAAGGGTATTTAGAACATTCTTTAATGTGTGAAAATCACATATGCACACATACTTGTACATATATGTTTTTCTTTGGGAATGAAAACTAAAAATGATTTATTCTAAGATAGGGAATTAGCTTATTTGGGACATACGAGTGGAAGTGAGATCTGATTTTCACTGTATGTCCTTGATCTGTTATCAATTTCTTTTTCTTTCTTTCTTTCTTTCTCTTTCTTTCTTTCTTTCTTTCTTTCTTTCTTTCTTTCTTTCTTTCTTTCTTTTCTTTTCTTTTCTTTTCTTTTCTTTTCTTTTCTTTCTTCTTCCTTTTTTTTTTTTTTTGAGACACTGTCTCACTCTGTTGTCCAGGCTGGAGTGCAGTGGGGTGATCTTGGCTTACTGCAACCTCTGCCACCCGGGTTCAAACAATTCTCCTGCCTTAGCCTCTCAAATAGCTGGGATTACAGATGTACACCACCACGCCTGGCTAATTTTTGTATTTTTAGTAGAGACAGGGTTTTGTTACGTTGGCCAGGCTGGTCTTGAACTGCTGGCCTCAGGTGATCTGCCTGCCTCAGCCTTCCAAAGTGCTGGGATTACAAACTCGAGCCACTGTGCCTGACCTGTTATCAATTTCTTTATTCCTTTTTCTTAATTTTTTTAACATTTTAATTTATTATTATTATTATTATTGAGATGGAGTCTCCCTCTGTCGCCCAGGCTGGAGTGCAGTGGCACAATCTCAGCTTAGTGAAACCTTTGCCTCCCAGGTTCAAGTGATTCTCCTGCCTCAGCTTCCTGAGTAGCTGGATTTATAGGCGCCTGCCACCACGCCTGGCTAATTTTTGTATTTTTAGTAGAGACGGGATTTCACCATGTTGGCCAGGCTGGTCTCAAACTCCTGACCTCAAGTGATCCATCCTCCTTGGCCTCCCAAAGTGCTGGGATTACAGGCCTGAGCCGCTGCACCTAGCCCTTAAGTTTTTAGTTTTTGGTTTTTTTTGAGACAGGGTCTTGCTGTGTTGCCTAGGCTGGAGTACAGAGGCATGATAATGGCTCACTGCAGCCTAGACCTGCTGGGCTTAAAAGATCCTCCCATCTTAGCCTCCTGAGTAGCTGGGACTATAGGCACATACCACCACCCCTAACTTTTTAAAAACATTTTCTTTAGAGATGAGGTCTCAATGTGTTGCTCAAACTAGTTCTGAACCCTGGAGCTCAAGTGATCCTCCCACCTCAGCCTCCCAAAGTGTTAGGATTACAGGCGTGAGCCACTGGTCCTGGCTTTCTTTTTTCTTTAAACCACAGATTAGGAATGGCTTTTTTGTATATTACCTATTCAGTAAGTGATTAAAAAGAAAAGTTACAGTCTTAAGATAATCTGCAAACAGTTTGAACTACTACTGAAGGGGGAATTAACGAATTTTGTAAGTATAATGGTTGAAAAATGTATTCTTTTTCTTGAAGGTAGAATGTAATATAGCACCCCCGCTCTGGCAGGAGGCCAGGTTAAGAGAGAATATTAACTGCTTATCCCT